TTTTTTCCTTTTTACAGCAGAATGGATTCTGCTCAAATAATATGCAGTGCCATTCTTTTTTGCTGATTTTCACATTCCCTTAAGTGTTTTGAAAATAGTGACAATATTTACATAAATTCATGACTCTTTCATATTGAAACATCCTGACTTCTAGCATGTGTGATCAACCATAGACAGAGCTCAGCCAGTACATGGCAGGGATTACAAGGTTAAAAAAAAACCCCAAAACCTTGTGTTTTCAACATGAGATCTAGCTCTGGCAAGACAGTTTACATTTGACTGTCTCTATCTTGCAAAACTATTTTTTGCACCAGTAGATCCATAATTATCTACTACAGGGCTTGGAAGCTTAAAGAGTTCCTAAAATTCTATCCTAGAAGATGCATTTTTTTTCTGCTGCTTATTGGCTTCCAGAAAACATTCTCCCTATTAATGTCCTTCCTATGCATGCTTTCTGAATATTTAAGGATCAGGATCAGAAGGGACGCAATAAGAAAAGAAAACAATGTCTTGAAACGTAAATTTCAACTGCAGGGCTACAGCAACTACAGAAGGACTAACAGGGGCAAGGTACATACTTTTCAAAATATGTTACAGAGAGGAGAAAATACTGACCAAGATCTGTCTTGCTTTGGTGTCATTCCTTATTGTCATTTAGCTATACTGGTTTGGGGAAGCTGGGATAGAGCAGGGGTCTTCAAAGTTGGCCCTTTTATGACTTGTGGACTTCAACTCCCAGAATTCCTCAGCCAGGCACGCTGGCTGAGGAATTCTGGGAATTGAAGTCCACAAGTCATAAAAAGGCCAACTTTGAAGACCCCTGGGATAGAGGCTTCTTTTAAAGCCTCTCTTTCAAGCCCCTTTTAAAAACATCCATGTTTTTAAAACATTAATCAGCTTTAAATCATCTTCTCATTGGCTGCATTGGATAACCAAAGAGAAAAAAAATCTCCTTAGTAATATCCTTCATGTCATACCTGACTTCATACATGTGTTTTCTTAACTTTTCTTAACTTCAGGGTCCCAAATTCTCTAGCTATTTCTTATGAGCCCCTTGAGTGTTATTTGGTTGCCCTCTTCTGATTTTTTCCAACTTCATTGCATACTTTTTCAAACATAGCAACCAGACACTTCACAGCCATAAATACACAGTGATCACATGCTGAGTCAACATCTTCACCATTTTGACTCCCACATCTTTTTTTTCACATTGGTTACAAACAGCTCGAATCCCTTTTGTGTACACATAACATTAGGAGATTTACATCATTTTATCTCTCCTCAGAAATATCATTTGAAGCTAAAGAATCCTAAATGTTCTTTAGCTTTTCTCAGAAAACATGCCAAACATCCTCTGAATTTCCCAGCCAGCAAGAACCTTACTCAGAATTAGTGAGGATACACCACTGGGGAATTTACTATTTGATATACACATCTGGCTAAGACTCTGGGCAGTTCACCCCAAATTTAAAAACTAAGATAAAGTGGTGCAATGGTTGTGATATTGTCTTCATTGTTATTTTACATTTACATTGTAAGATGGCATGCCACATATATTTTCTAAATGAATAAATTCTTTAAAATTCTTTAGCAAATACATTTTCTGAATAAATAAATTCTCAGAGTTGGACTCATTCAATGGCTTGGCCTAATACACACTGAAACAGCCAGATCTTAGTGCCTTTTAGAAGACTAATGGGGTTAAAAATATATGGATTTGGGGGGGTGGGGGTATTAGTGGTGATGGCAGCTGCTGTGACAAAGAAGACCTGTGTCAATAGTCTGACTAGCAAACCCAACAAAGGCAATTACATCCCAAAAGGTAAAACTTTATTGGATACACCATCTTGGAACTAAAGAAGCAAAACCAGCTCTGGGTTTTCCTGCATGAAAGCTTGGTTAGTTAAACAATAGATTCCTGTGCACCCACCCACCAGGTGTTCACATTGTCCAATAGTAATTCTTCCTTTTGTTATGGGAACAGTCCACTTCTCCATCGAGCACCTGCAGTAGTGACCTTGGCATTTTGCAGGTTCTCATTGTCCATGAACAGCTTCCTGGCATTCCATTTCTTCCCCCTGCTTTTTAGCTCTCCCCCCTTTTCTATGGCAAGTTGATTAGCGATAGCGATTCAATCTTGACAACCTGCTTCTCCTTGTCCCATCTGATGCCATGTCAATATTGTCAGATGTGGAGCAGGCAGAATTAACAGCAGACAGGCAGTCCCACCAATAAACCAGCCCTAGGACATACTGTTGATGACCTGCACGCTGATTTGTACCTGGAAACCATAATGAAAGCTAATGGGTGTTGCATTCTGGACAAGTTGCAGATTCTGAAAAGTCTTCCAGATCAGCCCCATGTGCACTGCAGTAATACAAACCAATGGTAACTAAAGCATGAGTGACTGTGTGTAGTGGCAGTGAAGAAGACCCTTGTTATCCTGGGAGAGTTTAGTGAGATATTTTGATTTCTCTTATATATATATAAAGCATATATCAAAAGTCTAGAAGTTCAGAGCTTGTTCTGAGTTAGATGTCTATGGAGATTCTCAGTCATCCAGGTCACAGTTATCCCAAAGATGCTTTTTCACAAGGCAACTGGATTTCCTTGTTTTTCTTGAGGTTTCGCTTCTCATCCAAGAAGCTTCTTCAGCTCCCAGAGAGCTGAAGAAGCTTCTTGGATGAGAAACAAAATGTCAAGAAAAACAAGAAAGTCCAGTTGCCTAAAAAAAAAAAGCACCTTTGGGATGTTCTGAGTTAGCCTGCTTATTTTCTTTACTGTTGTTTACTGAATAAAAGAAAAAAAGGGGGGGGAGTGATCTTCTTATAACTTCAAAGCTTTCCTTGCTGCGAAATTCTCAGACTTTTGATTCCCATCCCAGAATCTTGTGCCAGCAGTCAAGATCAGGTCTTACAGTCTCCTGACCACAGCAGGCCATGAAGTCATGGTGCCAGGTTTTGATTACAACCTTGAGGTTGTTGTGTTAGGAGCTTCTGCAAGGAATCTAGTGCTGGGTATATGGAAATTGACTGCCCTTGGGGTGTATCTCTGCTGTCATTATTAAGGAGTTCCTGACAGCTTGTAAGAGAGTTGGACATCATCTTGCTTGGTATGCATACTTCTTATGTGATGCTTTTAACTCTGTTTGCTTGAGCTAATAATAAAGCTTAAAATCCCTTCATTTACTGGAATGTTCATTGTCTCTGGATCCAAAAGAACCAATTGCCTGAGCACCTGATCACTGCCCGTCACTTGGCAAATCATTGTGAAAAATAACTCCTGGTCTAGAAGCAATTGGTACATAAGATCAATTAGTGCAAAGGCCCTTCTCATCATAGCTATCACTTGCTTCTCAGGGAGATGAGAGAACCCCCAAATTATAGACTTGGTTTTGTCTGAGGGGACCTGCCATCCTATCCAGAGTTAAAGATTAAAGATCTGTAGTACTAGGGGGGGGGGAGAACCTTAAAACCTACAGCCAACCAATCTTATTAGGATTGAATCTAAGCCTGTTTCTCCCTAGCCAGATCTCCAAGGCCTTCTATAAAGACTGTCATAGAAGATTTATAGTATAATATTCTCTTTGAAGTCCTCTTTGAAGACTAACACTGGGCACAATATTCCAAGTAGGTGATTGATTCAGTGGTATAAAAGCATGGATAATACTTGATATGTTGTTTTTTTTAACAATTCCTTTTCTATAAATAAATTTTCTAATCTCCCACATGGATTTGCCACATTCACAACAGTCAACATCCTTTGATAATATCCCAACAGCATTACAGTACTTTGAATTTAAGCACATTTTGCCTCAAGGCTTCCTGTATATCATCAAGAGGATGGCATATAACTGGAGTATTGGAAAGTGAGAAAATGAATCCCACTGTTTTGTTGAACATATCTCAGTTCAACAAAATAAGTTCATTGGGATGGCCTACAAAATATCTTGGTCAAGTCATTCCATTGAGGCGAGCCCTTATCTTCCATTCAAGGCTATATCTATCAAAAGCACTATCATGAACTATTGACCCCTATCTAAGTCTTGTGAAGGGTTCACAGCCTTGACTGGCATAGCATTAACTTCATTCAAAAGATGAATCTTAGGGATTGCAACTATCTGAAAGGGATTCTCATCATTTGTCCCAGATATTTTCCATTAGTGCTAAAAATCAACTATTCAAAGTTCATTTTCTTTTTTTCTTTTCTGCATCACAGTTGCAGATACCACCCACATGCATACTTTTCCTTTTTGACAAAATAACATTATTATGCTGCCTGGCAAAATAATATTAATTTTTACCCTGCAAATAATTAGGGAGAAAAATTATAATTATCATACCGTGTGCTGTGTACTGTGATGTGTAAATGTGCTTAAACTTGGCATAATCTCAGGAGCAAATGCTTTCCAAAGAGCAGGTCAGAAAACAAAGTCAAAGGCAGATGTATTTGAATCAAGCTAAAATCACAGCAACGGAGAAAGCACTTTGGTGAGACTGACACAACTCTCTTGTAGAACAAAGTCCCTACACTTTGATACAGAAACCTGTAGCCCCTAGCATCCACAAGACCATATTAGTTATGAAACTGTACTCAACCAACCATGTATTAGGGAGATCTAGCAACAGTAGTACTATTCATAGTGTATGTTCACAGACAGCTGGAATCTTGAAACTTTGAAACTATGAATGATATCCAAAAATAATTATTATGACTACCAGCAAGTTCCTTGTTGAAGCCACCAATGTGAATATCTACTAAAAAAAAGCTGATTCAAATATGCAGTTGGAGAGGGGAAGCTGGTTCAAATTTGCAATATTATCTTTGGAAACAATTGCAAATCTGATCTAATTTTCACAGAGATCAGACCTTGTCTTTTCAATCTGTGAGTTCTGAACAATAAACTGGTCAGGAACAACAGTAAGGATCCCATATTTGATATTCTAGCAATATTCCACAAAGAAAGGAAACAAAGAAGAATGGTCAAATTTAGCCTTCTGCCCAATAGAGTATTTTTAATGGTTAGGATGTTAGACAAGTTGAAGTCCCCACTTAACCACCAGTTACTCTCTCTCAGTCCAACCTACCTCATAGGCTTATATTAAAGTGAAAGAAGAAAAGTCAAGTCATAGCCTTAATTTCACAAGGAAAATAGAAATAAATTTAAAATCCTTGCCTTGAAAATGAAGGGAAAAGACTGGAACCAACTGAGAAAGTCTACAATAGACTCTGGGATTCAAAGCTGTATTCTATGAATACAGGCTACATCCAGATTTAAGTAATCAGATTTTGTAGCTGGCTATTTGGAGAAGGACTACTTCAAGCAACCTCTATAAATTCCTCTACTCTTTCATATCTTTCATCTGCATTTAATGACTAGACTATTTTAATATGGGTTTTTTTTCCAGATTCTTGAAGAGCAATAAATGAACAGGATATCAATGCATAATTTATAACTCAGCTGGTAAATTTTGAAATTTTGCTTAACAATTGCCACAGGGATTGTGGGGATTGCAGTTGCTAAGCCATGCACTCATCTGACATCTTGCTTTATGGCCACATCACTTAGCGACCAAAAGTCCAGTAAGTCAAGGACTACCTGTAAGACAAAAGCAGGAAAGATTCTTTACATAATCAGATCTAGGTTGTCTATTTTGTTTTTATGTAAAATTATGTAAATTTCTTATAGTCACCCAACTCTAATGGATTCTGCACATAAAAATTAGGCTCCTTGGGCTAATGCAGGGGTCTTCAAACTTGGCCCTTTTATGACTTGTGGACTTCAACTCCCAGAATTCCTCAGCCAGGCATGCTGGCTGAGGAATTCTGGGAGTTGAAGTCCACAAGTCATAAAAGGGCCAAGTTTGAAGACCCCTGGGTTAATGGTTCTGTTCCTTCCAATTACTAATAATACTGCAGCAACTGGCTTTTAAACAGGGAACTATCTGAAATGTAGAAATGTTACATTTGTTCATATTATGGTCTGCTGCACTAGGATGCCTATAATCCTCTGCACTCAGTAAAAGCAGACTGGGAACAAACGGTTGTGTTTTCAGAGGTATAGGACCAACCAGTTTATTTTATTAGCATCTTATACAACTATATTTGCTCCCCAATCACCATCTTGGAACTGATTTGGAATTCATCTTTAAGTCATGAATGTGACACCCCACTTAATTTATGGACCTTTTCGTTCTTCCCTGGGCTGCATTCAGGGTAACAACTTGCCTGATGAACTTGAAAACATATACATTCTTTTTGGGTAATTTTAGTTGGTCTATTTGGCTTGGATTGTTTTTGTTTTATTTTAAGCATGTAAAGTTTAATGCCCATTGAAACATCTATTCTCTGATATTTTTATTGTGAGGTTTCATAAGGCTCAGAGGATAAACTAATTACTTATTGGATTAATCAGGCAAGATTGGATCAAGCTCAATCAAGGGAAAGAAATCTGATTTAGCAGGCAACATCAAAGGATTACAGATATTCCAAATCAACTTTCTTAGCTACAACTTACTCATTTAGAACAGTAGGAAGATATTTGCTTAATAGCAAGTTAAAGTTTTATGTTGGGATCTAGACTATATCATATAGGTAAGAGAAGATTGCCATTAAGCAGAGTTGATCCAAATAGTTAAAATGCTATTATATATTTGAGTCCAAGATAATAAGATTTATTAGTGAACAGCTATTGCAAAACACTTTTAATCAAATCTCTTACATCTATTCCAATTTTGACTCCAAGCTGAGAGAAGATTCTATAGTGCTGGATGAGTATATATTTTCTTTTATATAAAAAGTATGAGTATGAAAAAATGAGGATGTACTTTTAAGAAGAGATTGGACAACCATTTGTCTGAAATGGTATAGGGTCTCCTGATTGGATGGAGGCTTGGATTGGAGGATCTCCGGTCCTCCCTTCCAACTCTATTATTCTGTTCTGTTCTGTTATTCTGTTATACTTTCTATGATCATGTGTAGCCATGCGATCAAGCCCCCAAAAATGTCTGGAATGGTATAGGATCCCCTGCCACGGGCAGGGGGTTGGACTAAAAGGCCTCCAGGATCCTCTCCAATACAATGTTCTGTGTTGTTTCTCATTTTTTCCCAGGATAACTGTTTTGGTATGAGCCTTGGAAGAACTTCCTAGACCAGAGGTCTCTAAGCTTTTTGATCTGGTGGGCCCGGAAAGTGAGATAGGCATCATTATGTGCATGTGGTGCACACAAATGGCTGTACGTGAGCTCATGCGCACATGCAAATTGGCTGCGTGAGCATGAGTGCTGCAAATGGGGCGGGACTAGCATCGGCAGGATGCTCAGGGCCATGCTAGCACTGGTGGGATGCTCGGGGCGGGGTGGTGCTAGTGCCGGTGGGATGCTTTGGGTGGAGCTAATGCCAGCGGGATACTCGGGACGGCTCTAGTGCTGGTGTGATACTCGGGAGGCTCATGCTAGCACCAGGGGGATGCTCAGGGTGGTGCTAGTGCTGGTGGGATGCTCGGGCAATGCTAGCACTGGCGAAATGCTTAGGGCAGCACTAGTGCTGGTGGGATGCTCGGCGGTGGCGCTAGTGCTGGCTGGATGCTTGGGGTGGTGCTACTGGTGATGGGATGCTCAGGGCATGGAAGTGCTGGTGGGATGCTTGGGGTGGCACTAGTGCTGGTGGGATGCTCTGGGGGGTGGCACTAACCCTGGCAGGATGCTCAAAGTGGCGCTAGTGCTGATGAGATGTTCGAGGTAGAGCGGTGCTAGCACCGGCGGGATGCTCAAGGTGGCGCTAGTGCAAATGTGGGGAGTGAGTGCATGTGCATGCACTGACCATCCCTTCATGCAGCCCGGTGGCCAAGAGGCCACGGCCCAGTAGTGGGCCATGGCCCAGAGGTTGGGGTCCCCTGACCTAGACAATAGACTAACAAGTTGGAATTATGTTGTGTCTGGTAGTAAAAGTTTTCACTTGGGTCATGGATATAGCCCAATCATGATCCCGAGAACTCAGCATTAAAATTAACACAACTCCATTGCTGAAAATAGCTTTGACTAGGTTCTTCCTTCCATCTATGCAACTTTTCCAACCTAGCACCTTTTAGATGTGTTGGTTCCAGTCCCTGCCAATCCTGCATGTATAAATTCATAACAGAAGGTGACAGAAAACAGCCAGAATGGATATCACAGCATAACAAAACATACAGTATATTCCTCATATTGGCCAGCTAGATTTCAGACAATGGAAGAGATCAGCATGGGAATAATATTGACTACCACTAGAATCCAAATAATTAAGCACAAAGCTCCTGCGTTCAAGATCAGCCCATATGAAGTCAAACAATGGATTCTTTCCTCAGCAGCATGAGTGATATAGAAGCAAATCACCACTATTTCATTTCCATTAATCATTTCCTGAAGGACCGACTTGTGTATGCAAAATACATGTTAGGAAACAATAGAAGGGCTTGTTTTCTAATACAAAAAGGATCTTATCATAACAGGCAGGTAGTCCCATAATACATAAATCACCTGTTTTTCTTATTTTCCTCTAGCTCACCGTAAGGGAGAGTGCTCTGGTTGCATGAGACCTCCTTGTGCATAAGTTCACGCTGGAGAGCATCAAATTAATCTCTCCCTGCTTGAAGGTGACCTTCCCATCTCACCTTCTGCATTCTCCTTGAGTCGAATACTTCCTACCTTGTGTGAGTAGCTGTAGGTTTCGAACTTCCTCTCTCACTTTCAGCTGGAGCACTTGCTGCAAAATGTGCTGACGTAAGCTCTCCTGAGCAATCCCCATTCGCTCAAGCTTTTTGTCGGTAAGCCTGAGCAGTGCGCGGCCTGGATCCGAAGGAAGAGACGAGAGGAAGAGGGATTACTCAAGCATTTCCATTTAATGAATAATAATAAAAAAAGTTCTACATGCTGTCAATGCTCTCATTCTAGGAGACAAAACCTGCCTGCAGTGCAAATATTCTCTTGGAAACAATCTGATTCACAATGGGATAGATTGAGGGAATAGGCGGCCCTGAAATATATGTTGGCTCAGTGATTTAATTACATTCCACACTGGAGATCCAGGTTCAGAAGACAAAATCACTCATTGAGATTCCAGCACCTATACTTGTCATATAGGAAAGGAGCTGTGCTTAATATGCTATGGTCAAAAGGGAGTTATGAGGACTGCACAATTGCTTAGGAGGAGAACATATACCAACAGCAAGAGCACTTAGACTTATATACTGATTCATAATGCTTTACAGCCCTCTCTGCGTGGTTTATAGCAGGGGTCCCCAACCTTGGCCACTTTATGACTTGTGGACTTCAACTCCCAGAATTCCTCAGCCAGCCATGCCGGCTGAGGAATTCTGGGGGTTGAAGTCCACAAGTCATAAAGTGGCCAAGGTTGGGGACCTCTAGTTTACAGAATCAACAATCTGGGTTCTCATTTTACCAACTTGTGAAGGATGGAAGGCTGAGTCAACTTTGAGCCAGTCAGGATTGAACTGCTGGCAGTCAGCAGAGTTAGCCTGCAATACTGCATTCTAACCACTGCACCACCACAGCTCTGTTTAATATACTTAAGCTCTCAAGTTCAAGCCCTTAGGAGGAACATCTAGCAAGCAATGGGAGATGTCTTTGATGAATAGATAGGAAACCAATAGTACTGGTTGAGGGTCATTTGTATAGCTCAGTGTAAAGTAGTTGCACTTATCTACAGTATCTATTCTGCCAGTTTATTCAGATGTATCCCTCATAACAATGCCAAAGTAGAGTAACACGATCAATTAAACTATCAAAAATATTTTAAAAAATAAAGTGCAACAGGAGAAAAAGATCTTTAACACAAAACATGCACATACAACAGGAATGTACTTGGGTGATGGGCTGGTGGAAACATCACTTAATAGGAACCAAGTTAATCTGGAACAATGTTCACAAAGGACTGTAAGCCCCAGCACTTCCTCGTCCTTACGTCCATCAAAAGATTGGCAATGTCTGTGATGACATGGTGACCTCAGAATGCAATCTTTAACTGTCCTCAGGTCCTGGAAGAGTAATGCTGTATGCCCCTTTATCTATTTATTTATATCCCATCTTTATTATTTTTTATAATTAACTCAAGGTGGCATATATTGGTCCAGGGTCATCCAGCTGGCTTTGTACCTAAGGTGGAACTAGAACTCACGATCTCCTGGTTTTTAGGCCTGTCCCTTTACCAGTAGACTTTAAATAGTCATATCAGGAGAAATATTTCATTTTGGTATGGCTCCTCTTTATTAAATAGTAGCAATCCTAAACTCTAACCCTGAGGTAATTGTTCTTGTACGATTCATTGTATTTCAGTGATGTTGGGAGAACACCAGCTATCCAACACACTGAAGAAGAAAAGTTCAAGAAGAAAAAAGTAAATAAAAAAATAAACATTTTAATTCTTGGAAGTGCTTCAGCAAATAATGTATTGTCCTGATGGGAACTATATTGATCCTTTACAAATCTTGGATATAAAAGACTGTTAAGACAGTTCTGTTTTTTAGCTCAATATATTCAGGAGGCCTTGATGATTTGAAGAGGAAGAAATAATCGTAACTCGAATTCCCGTCTGAAGTATAAATTCAAGCACAAATCATATTAAGCTGCTTTGAAAATGCATTGTAAAATGTAAGGCAGCCATTTTTAGAGCTTGCAGGAAGAACCTCAAAGACCCCCAAGGCAAATTAAATACAAATCTAAAACTTTGGCAGACTGACTTACACATTTACATTACTTGCTCCTTGTACACTTATAAACTTATTTCTTAGATGCACTAACTGTTCAATAAATATGGATGTAAGTAAAGTCCTCTCTGAGGTAAGCTCAAGTCCTGGTAACTTCATTCTTAGAAACTGCATGGAGATGATTTACTGCTGCTTTCTTCCAAAATGCCTTTTTGACTACTGAATCTGGTCTAAAGTTCTTAGAGTTATCAGTGGCCTCCCATTCAAGTGTTAATGGTACTTGACCCTGCTTAGCCTCCAAACCCAACCAAGGTTAGCCAGCTGCTAAGGCTATGGATTGATTTTATTTTCAACTAGACAAACCAAGACCTGTTGGATCATTTCCTAGATAGTTCCTTACCTAAACAGAGAAACAGAATGACCAAGGGTAAAAAAAAGCAGTAGGAGTTCAAGTGAGTGTCAATGATTTAGAAGCTAATCAGCTTGTATAATGTGAGATGAATGATGCAATGTTAGGAATGACTCAGTAGGAGTCTGTATCCCTTTAAGAGCTTGAGAATAAAAGGGATTGGAGTTTGCTGAATTATCCCATGTATGTATTTTGTTTCTAGTATATTTGTAGATATTGTAATATAAACCACCACTTAATACAAACCACTGTTTACTGTATTTACTCCTGGGTTACCTCAGCGCAATAAGACTGTGCATGCCCCGACAGTGAGTTTTGATTTCCTGCCAGCTTGACCATGGCTGATACCGCCCCCCTTTAGCAGATGATGGTGGGACCAGTCTACCTAGCTTTCAGAAAGCTAGAATGGGACCAGTCTACCAAGTGGACAAAGACAGGGCTAGTCTACCAGGTCTCTGGAGGGCTATGCCAGGACTGGTCTGCTAAATCTTCAAGCAGCTGTGTGGAGGCACATCAGCACTGACTCAACTGTAAATTTGCTAAATTTCAACCCTACAGGAAACATGGATCCCAGATTTTGGATGCATTTTATAGGTTAGTCCAGGGGTTGGTAACCTTGGCTCTTTTATGACTCATGGACTTCAACTCCCAGAATTCCTGAGCCAGCCATGCTGGCTGAGGAATTCTGGGAATTGAAGTCTATGAGTCATAAAAGAGCCAAGGTTGCCTACCCCTGGTACAAGATTCACTTAACAACTGTGGCAAAAAGAGGTTATAAAATTGGGCATGACTCCCTTAACAACAACCTTGCTTAGCCACAGACATTCTGGTCCAATTGTGGTCATAAGTCAAGGACTATCTGTAAAGTATTCCTTTTATTTCTTTTTCAGTCCTGTTTTCCTTTTACCAATGGATTGAATTTGAATTTGAATTTGAATTTGAATAAATAATATAAATATGGGGCGGGAAGAGGGCCTCCTGAGTCCCGCCGAATGTCGGTCAAATTTTTGTTGATTATGTTATGTTATGTTTTAAATTCTTTTACTAATTTTTATTTATAAATTTATCCGGCGAAGATGATTTTAAATCAATTTTGGTTAAATTTTATGGGGATCCCCAGTCCTGCCCGCTGAAACAACCAAGATACAGAAACCTTGAGCTACTAAACCCAAAACAGGATGTTTGGGAGCTGCTTAATGCTTTTGATTTCATCACCATCCCCAATATTGTTGTATGAGTATTTCCACATATTTCCCCACAGGCATTCGGTAAAAATCAAAAGGGGTGGATGGCTGTCACCTAGAATTTTGTCTGGAGGGCTGTCCATCTGCCAAGAAAATATACAATATTATGCTAGGAATGATTAAGGAACACCTTGAGAGTATAAAAGGAAGATAGGATAATAAATGTGTTCCCAGCCATGCCCATCACAAATATATATATAGGTAAATAAGCAAACACCTTCTGGGATCATCCTTACAACATTTTCTCCAACTACTAAGTGCATTCACCATTCCCAAAAAGTTGCCTACCATTGGAATAGCTCAATATTATCAACACTGAGGCACACATTATTTTCTTCCTTAGGTTTTCCCCTATTGTTTTTTTTTAAAGGAATGTTCTTGTGAAATCTTGCTTTGTCCTTTTCTAATATATTTTGCTGCTATAATGCTCAGAAAAGAATTGTAGTATTCTTGTCCTGTAGAGGCAGGCAATAGCTTTACAATTTCTAATGCTGCTCTTGGATCTTTCTGCATGAAGTTCATTTGTATGATATATGTCCGGAGGGCAAAGAAAAAGCTATCATAGATGCTTCTTAACGTATTAGAAAGAGAACATGGCTTGCATGCAAAAATGCTTAGGATTGAACCCGAGTTCAAGTCCCAGCACTGCATGGAAAGATCTACCTTTGAAACACTGCAGAATCATTATCAGTCAGTGAGCTTGATGGACTGTTAAGATCTATTCTTATCTCCTATTCTCTATTGCCTGGAGAAGAAAAGGTCACTTTTCTTGTTTTCTGACTAGTAACAGAAAATTCTCCTGTCTGTCAGCCAAAAAATAGCAGCAATGTTCCAACAGAATGGAACTACCTCAGTGGGAGGCAGGATCGCAGTTTTGATGGAGTCAACAAATTATAACTTGAGATTAACCAAGCCTCGTACAATAGCAGTCTGCAAAATTAATTCTACAAACCAATCCTTATGAAAATATTAGTTTACTTTCAGTTCTGAACAAATGTGCAGTGCTTCACAAACATACAGATCCTAAATCATCTTCTTTTTTTTAACCAAATACTATTAAGAATGTCAAACTGAGGATGTTGTTAATATTTATAAGGTTAAATAATTGATGTTAATATAAATGGAAAATTAAAAGTGCACTATATATAAAGGATAAAAGAATGCAGACAGTGAGCCATGCTATTCAACCTATATCTCCTTAACTCTCTAGAGATTCTATAGGACGTTTATTGGTTTAACAGCAGGATTATCTGATGGACCTTTTTCGTGATGGACCTTTTTCGTGATGGACCAAAGTCGGTTCAGACTTTCTGTGGTCTAAATCCTTATCACACCTTCAATTTCCTACTATAAATCGAAACTCCTAGAGACACAGTCGATTAGAACCAACTACCCGTTACCGATGTCTTAACGTGTCCGATCATAGTACATTCATTCGATGAGAACATAACGGTAAAGTAACCGTATATA